TGGAGCATTTCCACATAGAAAAGGCATTAGACAACCCATAAATATTTGTAAAAAATGACAAACTCCTTACATTTTGATCTACACACTATAATCTGATATAAAACATAAATCTAAAAAAAATTGTAGAATGTGCAATTAAATGAGAAAAGAAATATACCTTTAGAATGCATACCCTTTATTTTCTTTTTAGGGAACTTTTTTTTTTTAATTTATGTAATTGTTTTGATATTTCGTCTTTTATTATGGCAAGTTCTCAGTCTAATGAAAAGAAATATAGGGTAAAAAATAATTTAAATCATTTATAGTTTAGTTGAGCAACCTGACGACTAAAGATAATACAGAGAACGGAGTCCCACTAGCTCTCCCCTGTAAATGACAAGGCTATACTGATGATTAAATGTCTGGTATAATTTAATGAACACAAAGCCACCCAAGTGCAAGGACATTTTAATTGAAATCTCCCTCTGTTTAATAACTTAATATTTTCTGAGTGGGATGCTCCAAGATATATCTGAGGGAAATTTGTGTTCAACAATAAACATGTAACTCTGGTTAATTTAGTCACAACGGTCTTTTACCCCTTAGAGTTTTGCTTACTCTTCTCTACACTGTTTATTTCAGGTGAAATTAACACCATCCAACTCTTTGCTTTATTCATGTAATAGATGCCTAAAAGAGTAGAAAGCTGTGATCGCTCACTTTCACCCACATTTCAGAGAAATCAAGATTCAATTCATTTGTTGAACAAAAATAACTTCTCTCTGATTTCTTTTCATGCACATTTTTTCTCCCTATTTTAACAATATGCAACTTATATGAAAAACTTTAAATTCTGTCTGTATCATTTGTCCATATTTGTATCAGCAGGTAAATAAACAAAGTATACACCTTAGTGCAATGTCATACCAAAAACCATAATTTATTATCATTTCTTTTGCAAATTTCACAATCACACATTTCACCTTGCTACAAATGTGTCACTTATGCGTTACTCCAGACATGAATCCAAAACGTACAGGTTCAAACCTCAAATTTACAATACTTTAGTTAAAAATTAGGGAATTTCAATGATCACTTTACATAATACTGAACTATAAAGACATTTGATTAAAAAAAAACTCCAGTTCTAAAGTGTTCTGACTCCTGCTCGGTGGCAGTTATCCGAAAACACCAGTTTAAAGGGCAAATATCATTACATTTTAGAAACATCTTCAATTTAAAACACAAATAAATCCAAATCAGCCTATCCATTGTTTTTTAACTGGATATTACAATTTAAAACATATTTTCTTAGAGTGGAAATGGCCTTAGCAGCCATAAATCTGTAAAATGGAAAGGCACATCCATATCTGGTGGATCACGATATCGTCTGGAATAATGGATTAATAAGATTGCTTAAAACAGAAACTTGATCATAGGCTGGGGGATAAAAACTTACTTCATTCCCCTGTCATGTTAACACATTTTGGCAGCAGCCAGACCACTGAGGCGACTGTGGGTGTTGTGTGTAACAATAGAAGTTTTTTGGATAAAGAAATGTGATGTTTTATAATGGCTTAAAGTAGCCAATAGGATGGCAGGTTATGAATCACTATAGTTGTGTGTTATGTTCTCCCCGTTGTATGATTTTGGCATTTAAGGGTAAATTACATGTTGGTATGAGAAAATTACCTCATGGAAAGGAATTTAAGCTACAGAGGATATCTTTGAAATAACAAGTAAAACATGTTTTGATTATGCGTAGAAAAACAAGAATTCATCTATTCTCCCCCTTGCTGTTATGTTCTCACAACCACACCATGGTTCAGTGATTATTATTAAAAATATTCAAATGTCACAGTTTGGTTAGGAGAAAAAGGCATTGTTGAGAAACAACGTTGGTGAGAACAGAACAGAAATATCAATGTTTGTCATAAGCAGCAAGATTTTAATGTCCTTTTTTCATGTATTTTTTTAAGGAGGGGTTCATAAACCACTGTGGCTAAATAGAGGCAAACAAAGCTCGACACAAAGCTTCTGAAAACATGGCTACATGATGACCTCTCCACGTTACTGGTTCTCGAAATTTTTTAGCAAAATAAATCTTCACCTCATAAATTTCAAATCCAGCAACCCTATTTCATTCTATGACGTTTTCCCCTTTGGTAACCATTGTTTAATGAATTAATGGGTAAGTTTAGTGTTCCAGCTCTAACTTTATCACTCCTTAAAAGATTTTGGCGGTGGCCTCTGCTGACTTCTGGCTGGTTTCTTTCAATCATGCTACATTTTCTCCCATTGAAACCTGCAAATCAATACAGCTAAATGAGCTATAAAACCAAGTATATCTAAAGAATCAATAGATAAAATGATGATATATGCCCCTTAAATGCAATTTCAAAAACAATTCAGAGACACCTTTATTATTTCCAGCAACCGAATAAGGCAGAACAAAACCTCTCAGCTGGAAATAGATAAATTGTATGTAAATTAAGAACGAGCCACAAATACATTATTGAGGTCAGATTTTTAAGGCTATGATGAATTAAGTAGCTTTAAATTGATGTATACAAAATCCAAGCGTGTAAAATGTATGGTCCTGTTCATCTTTTCTTGAATATTTAGAAAAAAAGACTGATGTTTACAAACTGGTTATCTTTAAATTAAAAAATGTCAACTTAACTTTGTAATCTCAAAAAACAATAAATAAATAAATGTATGCTGATGTTTTGGAATTTTAATTGTTAGTTTCTAAAAGACAAACAACAAACCAAACCAAATGTAGTCTAAACAATAATCTAACCAGTTTGAAATCGTCCGTTCTGCTCAGGTGGTTTTTGGTTTGCTTTCCTGATAAAAGTTGATGCTTTTTCACAGTAGAATATAGGATTTTTTGCAAAACCCTATCTGTATAGGAAAGTAAACAGAGACTAGAAAATCCCTAAAGATTGATATGTAATATGCATGTGGACTTTTTTTTTTATCTCATGTTAGCCACTGTATACCTTTTGAAATAGAGTTTCAATCACTTCTGTGTTTTCTGATGCAATATCTCAGTTGAGGTATGTAAAGGTGTGCTATGAGGAATCTCAATGAGTTAATTTATTATGCGACTGGCAATTGTGGTTTGCATAATTTTTATTTATTATCTCCAATTATTTAAGAAAAAAACAAAAGATGATTAAATCATAATTGTTATTTTAGAATTTATTTGTGCTTTTTTGACATTTACATTTTTCTACAGCAAACCCAAAAAGAAAAACTAAATGGTTTCTCCAATAGTTTGAAGAGAAATTCTAGTCACAAGGTGAGTCTAAAGGATTGTATTGTACACTTTCCAGGTAGATTATATGTCTCCTGATCAAGGTGGTAAATGTTCTGCACTGATAAAGGTTTGGAATCAGAAAAAAGAAAACAAAAAAAGAAAAACACAACAGAAGTTGGTCAATAACTTGTAAAACAAACATTTTAAAACAATATTTTCTCAATTATAAAAGACAATATTTGTTTTGTGTCAAATTAGATGGATTTTCTGCAGCTGTTGAAAATTAAAACCTTTAAATGTTGTTGATTTAGGAGACTAATGCACAGAAAATAGCATGTTTCTCATAGTTATGGCACCTTCACACTTATTGCACCCCCAGTAAAGACTTAGTACAACATTTAAAGTAAATTTGTCTTTTTTGTAGAAACATAAACCACAGAAGTAAGCCTAATATTTAATTTGATAAAACTTATTAAACGGGAAAAAAAACATCCCGTGATGAAAGAACTGGCACCTTAACCACTCCTTTTGAACATATGCAGCAGAAAAAATTTAAAAACTAATAATTTTATGCTGTTTTTAATTAATAAGAGCAGATTTTACCTTCTCATCACATACGCTTGCCCTGACAAGATAGTGATGCCTACTCTGCCACAAAGATGTTTTGCCATAAAGCATGATTTGGACATTGAGAACCATACTGATGTCCACACTGATACTTAACATAACCATGGGGTCAGGAGGGGGGTTTACCTGCTGTTTGGATTTTCCAGCATCCTATGCAGCCCACACACATCCAAGGCTCCTCCACAGGACATGTAGTCCTGCCCCCCACAGTGTTTAAAGAGAAAACACATAACTCACAGGTATCTTGCCTCTCATCCATAACCCTCTCCTGGGGTTCATATCAAAGAGGAAACCATTATGGCCCCCTTGTCTAGGGACCAGAACTCCAGACTGGTTAAAAACAAATCGGAACTAGTGGCGCACATCAGAACCAAAATGCTGCAAATTGACTGTTTGCAACATTTCTCTCTGAACTTCAGGATTTTCAGAAGCTAAGCTGGAGGTATGAAGCTCCAGAGAAAATAACTTCTGTGCTGTGATCCTGCAATGCTAAGCTGCTAATTGTGGATACAAAGAAAAAAACCAAGCCTTCCAAGTTTAAGAGGTTTGCAGGTGTTTCTTTGAACTTTGATAATTTAATGTGTAATGTGTTTAGTGCTGAGTAAAGGCATACAGGTTGAACCACATGGTACGGCATGATGACGTTTTTTGAACTGTCGTTTATAAAGCTAGAACAGGTTTTATTTCACTAAGCGTTTAGATTAGATTAAATATTACTTTATTGATCTCAGAATGGAAAAATTCAATTGTTGCTTGATATAAAAAAACTGATATAACATTAACGCCCATGTGTTTTCTCATATGCTCACTAAATTTTGATTACCAAATTATGACCAAAATTCATTCAACAGGAATCCTCATGTTTGCTAGCTACTAGCAAAATCAAAGAAGGCTGAGAATCAGTTAACTAAAGGATATTGTTTTGTAATTAAGCACATCATTTGATAAAACATTATTTTGCTAAATAATGTTTAAGATAGAAGTTTAGTTTTTTCCTTTGCAATTTGTGAATATATCAGTGATTTTGTTAAAAATGACTGGAAATAATTCTTTTAATACTTAAAAATTTCCTTCTTTGTATACACTATCTGAGAAACATCCCTTCTCGGACTGAACCGCAGTACCGATAATTAAATAATGATCAAACAATTGTGAATTGGTCTGAACACATTCTAATTGCTCTAAATTAGCCAAAACTAATTTGACCACATTTCAAATTCTTCAAGATAAACATTGGTTTTCAAACATAAACTTGATGCTGAACTGTGATATCATTGCATCATCTCATTGATTATGGTTTCCAACAATATTTTTCCTTCTTCTTCTTTGTGTACATATAGATTAGATGAGTTGAATTTCCTAGTTTAGTCAAGAGTTTTTAATTGAAATATATTTGACTTGGAGCTTAATTATTTTTGTCAATAAACTCTTATATTTAATGGAAGTTGTGGTTTATTTATTCTATATGTGCAGAGTTATCTGTTCAACCTCGATTTGAGCCCGATTCACACTTTGATTTGTTGATCTGACGCACAGCCTGTGGGGTGTGTTCACAAACAATATATGACATTCAAAACATTGAATAACATATTTACCACCCCTACCAGAGTGTATAATAAAAACATTAATGTTGCATAACAAATGGAAGACAAGATAATGAGTCATTCAAAAAAGACAGGTGTGAATGGCTTTGAAAGTGCTACGAGCCTTAACTTACCCAAAAACTTTATCAAAACAGTAATGTAAAAAAATTTTAAACTTCAACTGTGACAGACAAAGCTTGATGGATCAGTTTAATCATGTGACCAAGCAAATTGAGAAGAAAAGCATTTAGTATTTTCTTTTTGAAGAAATCACAGTTGAAGAATTACATCTAATAGTACTTTCTTTGGGTCACCAAAGTTCTTACCCTAAATGCATTACAAATAGGTATCATTTAACCAGTTTTACCAGGGGTGCAGATAATTGTGGAGAGCACTGTGCATATAGAATGCATTTGTTTCTATACATACAGAGTAATTATATGTTGTTATAGAAAAGAGTAAATTTTAGTTAAAAATCAACTGGCAAAATTTACCTAACCTTGTCAAAAGTTTTCTTTGAAACAGCATTTAAAAGAGAAAAATAATAAACTGTTAGGATTTTAGTAACTCAGTTAAACTGTTTTGTGATTTGTTGTTTATTTCACCCACCTGAAAACCACAAAGGAACCTGATGCAACTTTAACTCCAGAACAAAGGCATATAAAATCTGTTGACTTAGAAAGACTTAAAATCATAAAAATGAAAGAAAGTTACCCGCTGGTCTGTGAGACCATTGTCAAACAACCCTCATAAAATATAGCATAACATAAATATGAAAATATAATTGAAAAGATAAAGAGTGAAGTATTAAAATAATTGTCATTGTTTCTTAGAAAATGTCATTTTCCCCAGGTCATGTGAAAAACAATTCTCAAAAACATCACAAAAATGTTATGACGCCACTGATAAACTCTTTAAAAATTCTTTTTGGGATACAAAGAGTGAAAAGTACTCCTCTGACTGTCCACTTAAAAATGCCACATTTAACGAGGCAAGTATGTTTTTACCACATGTGGTACAATGTAAGCTGTCTTTATCCTATACAGTAGTGACTGAGAGGAAAGCATTGTGAACCTTTGCTCCCTCAGGAGCCTTGGTGCCATGAGTCATCAGCTCCTGGATAGTCATCCAGTTGTCCAAGATCTTCTTATTGCGTTTTTTCAGCATCTTCTTGTGGCTGAGCTCTATAATACTGACCTCTTTACGGCCCTCGCTGCTGCTTTGAGGGTTCTCCTTCAAGCTTTCCAGACGACTGCGCTGCATGAATTCCCGTCTCCTCTTCTGTTCTTTTGCCCTGACCAGATGTTGCTTCCTTTCCTCTTTGCTCCAGTATCTCCCCATCTTCATCTCACTCATTGCATCATCATCTGTGGTCATTCCTCCACTGCGCTCTTCTTTAATCTTTAAGGCCCGTTCCCTCAGGATCTTGTCTCTCACAGGCCTCTTGGTAATGTAGCGAGTGCCATCGCTGCGGATCTTGACCTTCCACTCCATCTTGGGCTCAGTAATGGGTCTCTGAGGCTCTTTGCAGACACTAAGCAGGCTGAGCTGACTCTGAGCATACTCAACAGCTGAACGCTGCTGGATCAGCTGCATGTAGCTCTGGTAGTGACGAGCATGGGCAGGAATGTTGGCCTGTCTCTGCTGGGAACTGTGCGAAGGAGAGAAGTAAGGAATCCGAGAAGTGCATTGTTTTAACTTTTTTTTACTGTCCTCAGCATGAGTTGTCTGATCAGACTCGGAAGGGTTGCTGTGGTCAGGGCTGCTGCTTTTGCCTGGAACAGGGGTTCTACAGGTTAGAATGGGGCTTGGGCTAGGGGAGTATCCAGTAGCAAGCCCACCATAGAGGTTCCTCTGGTTGGTGAGGCTAACCATTCTCTGGAGAGAGTGCTCTGGGGAGCGGTCCATTGCCAAAGGAGTGCTCCGAGAACTTTCTGCAGTGTTGTAGGCACTGGAGCTGTCCTTGTCAGACTTTTCCATCCTCTCATTGATGTCTGCAAGCTTACCCTTAACAGACTCTCCATGGTTGGGGCTTTGATTTGATTTGATGGAAGCTGCAGAACGTCCCATTAAAGGAGACTGCTGACTCTTACGCAGCTTATGGGCCTGCATGATGTTTTGGCACTCAAGTTCAATACTGCGCAACTCCTCGTTAAGCATACGCAGCTCATGCTGGACGTCGCTCTGCTCTGCCATGCTGCACTCTATAGTGCTGCGACGGCTGTAGAACAGGTCGTACTCGCCACTGTTGCGTATCTGACACTTAAGCTCCAAAAGTTGCTGGAAACGATCTCCCTCTGTCTCATCGTTGTCCTCATAATCGTTATCTTCAAAGCGTTTGCTACCACTGGTAGACTGCGAGTCCTGACTGTCTCGTAGGCAGCGGGACAGATGTCTCTGGATTTGGGCTAAGACGTTATGGTCTGAGCTTTCTTTTCTCTCTTTTGGATTTTGTACACTGTCTTTCGAACAAGAAAAGGTTGAACACGAAGGCTTGTCATCCTCTGACCTCTGAAAATATAAAATGACAAAAAGAAAACAGAAATGAAGGGCCTGATCCTTGCAAAATTTTTAAAGATTTTACAGTGTTCAAGGACAAAAATATAACAAAATACTTTTAGTAAATCCAATCCCAGGTATTGGCTTGGACACTGTTTTACCCATAAGAACATTTTTATTTGATTAGTATAGGACTCCCTGACAATATTCAATTTGTGATTGTGTGAGTTATGTATATTAGCAGGTATTTACAAGTACGCCTTTTGATGTGGATGGCCTAAAAAACTGAGTTTTAGTTTAAGTCAAGTTTAGGTATTGTTAATTGAAAGCATTTGTTATCCTTTACAATAAAGTTAACAGTGAGGGAGAAAGGTTGCAAAGCCCTTTCTGTCACCTGACCTACAGATATCCAGACAGCTCTCAATGCTCTCAAGAACTGAACCTGGAACTGACACAATTCTTAGGTTTTTGTCAATACATGTAAAATATAGCTGACAAGCCAAAATATCACTGAGTCATATAGAAATAAACAGTAGGCATGTGAACATTGGCCTTGCTATAAATGGAACAATAACACAACAGAAAAGTGGGACATACTGAGCACAGTATCAATCTGTTTTGCAATAAATTTGCGTTTATTTATTATAATCTAATTACAGCTTTCTTAACTGTTTATATCTTTGTTGCAGCAGAGCAGTGGGGCTGAAGGACATTTAGTTGTGTGAAATAGTTTGAATTGTATCTGATCTCAAATTGGAGAAATTATGTTTGCATTTAACCCATCCCCTTGGGCAGCAGTGGGCTGCCATCATTGGACGCCTGGGGAGCAATGTGGGGTTAAGGGTCTTGCTCAGAGACCCAGAGTGGCAGTCTGTGTCTTACAACTCAGTTTCTAATGTGCAAAAGTTAAATACCATAAAAACATTGTGCCTGCTAGAAGTTTTTACTGTAAAATGCAGGCAACTAAGGCAGAAGAAATGCAAATATTTCCCTTCTAGTGACAGCAGTCAAAGCAAGTGGACCTAAAATTATAGAAAAAACCCCAATGACCAAATCCAGAGCTTGTGGGATGTTTTACAAGGCTGTTAGCAGAAAGATGCCTTTTTTTGGTAATATAAAAATGATTTTAATGGTTTCCCTTTATAACTGTGATCAGGAAAGTAGGTGGCAGCACCCAGAAGCTCACCTCCTAGTTAAAATGTACCTGATTCCCAATCTTGCTCCAAACTCTTTTTAGCAAACTAGATAATAATCTCCACTAACTAATGTGCTTGTATCAATACCTCTCCCATGGACATTGTCTTTTTCATTGTTCAGGGTTAAATTGTCTTTTTTTCTATGAGAAATAAATCCTCGTTGTCCGGTTATGCTGAATTAAAGCTGAAATATTGACTCCTCTCACCACATATTTCTTTAAAATCTACAGGTGAAGAAATAAGTGCATTTATTCAATTTGTAATGAATGTTTTTGTAGTTCTCTCTGAATGTGTATGGTTTTTTTTTTCTTCAAACGAAATCTATACAGACACAATAAAAATGCATCCAAAATCATAAAATGTTATTTCAAAAACTATTATTTTTAAAGATTCATTGAAAAAGGAAGATAAAAAGACAAAATAAAACTTGCATTGCTTTATTCTCTCTGCAGGAAGGGCAAACCAATACCTCACCCTCCCAAAGGACACACATTAGGTTTTTCTTTGTGTGTGTGTATAAGACTGTTTTACAGCTCTCATACTTCAGAGATCATCATGTTTCTGCCATGTCTTTGAAGTTTCATTTGTATGGATTGTCAACGAATGCTCTCATCCCACCAAAAGAGAATTTTAGATTATGATTATTATTGTTTGGAATCTGAATGCTTCAGTAGTCCCTCTTCATACATATTCATTAAGAACTTTTTCTTTCCTCAAAGGGACTGGAGCGCCTGTTTTCACCTGGCACTCTAATAAAGTCAAGGGAGTGTTTTTTCCTTTTCAAATAACATTTTTTCTATGTAGTGTGGAACACTTTTGTTTTCTTCATTTAATTTAGTCTATTGCTTATGAAATTGATATTGAAAAGCATTGCAATGTGTTGGGCCATCAAATTCTATTTCTCTGACCTGCTGCTTCTCCTGTTCTTCTTGCAAGGCAGCTAATTCCATCTCCTCTCTCTGCTGCTCTTCCAACATTTCCATCTTCAGCTGCTCCAGGAACTCGCTATGCTCATCATCCAGCCATGCCTCTTCCAGCTGGGGAGTGAAAGCATAAGGAAAACACATGGATGAGGAAAATAGTGATTGCTGGGAAACAGAAAAAAAAGAAAAACCATGATTTTTTTTTTCACGGCCCAGAGCCTGTGACAATGCAGTGCCTCAAAAACAAATAGTTAGATTTTCCAAATGGGTGCACAAATGGGATTTCCTGAAAAATACCTCTGCATGGGTTTAAAATGGGAAACCGCCGCTATATTTGATATTTGGCTTTCTTACCAAGAGCTGCTGATCTTTAAAATGGGCCAATTCAGTTTGATGGCCGTAAACCAATGGCTTTTGACCTTTTACCTTTGCATCATCCATCAGGCTGCTTGATGTGAACCAAATGCTATCCTTATCTGATGACTTCACATTCACTACTGGAAGAGCTACTTAATTACAAAGCGCCTACTCCTGCTTTCTCTGCTCATCTGCACTGCGGCAAAGTCCTTCCACTTACTCGTCTCTGGCCTTGGGCCTGAACTCACTCCACATTAGCATGCCATTAGCATTTATGGCTTACCATTGCAAGTCAATTACAGTGGTGCTACATAAAAATAAAATATTATGGGATGTCCCAGCAGTGGCTTCCATCAGCAGAAGTTGTGTGCTTGATGGGAGGGGAGAGGTTGCTAAACCGGGAATAGTAAAGCTTGCTCTACGCAAACAATGTTAATGGCAAATCCTTTTTAGTTGTATTTCATAAATAGTTTTCCTTTAAGCCAGCTGTTACTTGAATATAAAAGCTGAGTGATTGTAACCTGCATCTCAGGTCGGGCAACTAGTAGGATGATGTTCCTGAAGTCATCACTGGAGAGAGCAGCCATTGCCTCTTCTCTGTCTTGCACATCCTGACCGTTAATCTGCAAATTAAGAAAATATGATTATTTCACTCATAAGCAAGAAAGTACAACAATAACTCTCATAAATATCAACTGAGGTCTTGCTCTCACAAATGAGTACACCCCTTGCATTTTTGTAAATGTGACAGGCCGGTGGGTTATTTTGAGTCACTTATAGATCCTGGAAAAGTGGTGTCCAAGCTTTCCAATGATGTACAACTTGTAACACAGGGAAGCAGAGCATGATGCCCTTGCTTCAGAAACCCCTTGCTTCAGAAACAGGGCAAATGGGCAGTATTTAAGCGCTATAACAACCAAAATAAAGGAAGATCTACAGAACTTTACTCCAAAAACTAAGGGGGGAATGCTGGACTGGCTAAACCCTTCTCAAACAGAAGGTGAAGGATCTCCAGATATTCATCAGCATGTGATTTGCTTCAGGGGGAATTTAGGATGAGTCCTGCGGCATTCTTAAGCTCTAATATACCGTAAATTCTAAACTATAAGCCGCTACCTTTTCCCCGCTGTTTGAACACTGCGGCCTATAATACAGTGTGGCTAATACATGTATTTTTTCATGAAAACATCAAGCATCACCGGCGGGTTTTGGAAGGCTGGGCTGCTGCGGGATGAAGAGGACCGGGAGTGCTCAGGTGAGAGCGACAAGGATGAGACTGAAGTCAGTGACAGCATCCTGAAGCTGTTCCATTCAGACACCGAGGAAGAGGACTTTGAGGGTTTTAGTGCGTAGGAGGAAGAAGAAAGTGATTAATAACTTTTCCTGGTCGGCTGCAATGTTCTGTGCATTGTTCAATTAAAAGTACCGGTATATGCAGCGTTATTTGCGTGTTACCGACACATACGTATATTTAAATGTGTTACAGGTAGTTTAAAAAAAAAAAAAAGCATTCATAATATGTACCATATTTGTTTGTTTTATCATACGGATTAAGTTAAACGTTAAAAAAAATGCTCACGTGTAATATCTTTATTTGTAGATATCTCATACAATGTGGGAAACCTGCGGCTTAAAATCCAGTGCGGCTTATAAAAGTACAAAACTAATTTTCTTTCTAAAATTAGAGTGTGCGGCTTGCACTTCAGGTGCGCTCTATAGTCCGGAATTTACGGTACTTAATGTCCAAGAGTGATAAATGCAGTGCAGGAAACTACTGGTGGCCACACAGAATACTGACACTTGGGAACATCACTTCAGCATCTATCTAATTGTATATTTAATTATCTTTAAGGGCACAGAAATTGTACACTGTTATACAAACTGTACAAACTTAATACTTTCAGGTGCTGTTCCATGAAAAGATGGAATATGAAAGATAAATATTTACAAAGATATATGAGGGATGTACTGTAGATAATTTCCTGTCTTCAGGAGAAAGGACACACTTCTTGTCTCTTGAAAAATACATGTATAACCCACTACCCAAGCTGTTATCATGTATGAAACAGCAGACTTGTGGTGCTCACCAAAGTTTCCACAGTGTACATGCATCTAGCTGTACAATTAGCTGACCTCTGGCAGGCGGCTTCCATCTTTTTGCCTTTAGAATAATGGCCCTGTCAGTGGTGGATAATGGGGCCAGAGTACTGGTCCGCCTTACAAACATGTGCACATGCCTCATTGTAGCTAAAATCAGCCTTGCAACTCATAAGCTCAAACAGTAGCGCTTATGCATCCAGTCCCCTCATCTTTTGTTCAGTAAAATTAGTTTCTTAGTCAATTTATCATAAGTATCAAAGTATATTTGCATATAAATGTACTGTTTTCCACTACCGGTGATGCTCAGCAAAAATTCTGGTTAAGAAATTGCTCTTTTGTTATGTTTCTCACTCCACAGACCCTTAGGGGAACTATTGTTATTACTGGGAATGTCCCAAATTTAGGTATGTTAAAATAATATTTGTTGGCGTACCGGATGAAACGAATCACCATACATTTTTTGTGTGCTGCTGTGTAATTTTAACGGTCATATCAAGGCAACCTTAAAACTATATAATTTGATGGCATGTGTTATATGCAGAACAAATGCATCATTTATTTTTATTTTTATAGTAAACTATGTTAGTAGAGCAACAATTGATTTATTTGACCTGCCAAATCAGCTTTGACTGCTTAAACAAAGTAAAGTTTTGACTTCTGAACAGACGCATGTTTGGTAAAACTACATTAGCAGTGATATAACTACATTAGTAGTGTAATATCAAGGTATTCCAAGTATTTAAAAAATGTGTAAAGAGCCTACACTGCAAAAACGATCTAGAAATAAGTAAAAATTTCTTAAATTAAGTGTATTCACCTTTAATTTGAGTAGGTAAATAAGATAGTTTGCCAATGGAATTAGTAATTTTACTCTTAAAATAAGATAATTAGATAATATGCACTTGAAATAAGACAATGCAATTGTGTTTTCTTATTTTAAGTGTAAATTGTCTTTTTACATTGGCAAAATGTCTCTTTTACCACCTCAATTCAAGAACAAATGCACTTATTTTAAGAAAAAATTACTTCTCTAGATTTAGATTTTTTGCAGTGTAAAGCAGTGTAAAGCAAAGTTGAGCAGAGTTTTCTTCACTTAAGGGATATAGAATACCACAGCTAAGCTTCTAGTCCACGTTACAGCACACTTCTATACGGCTAAAAGAAAGCTGCTATATTTACTCCCTGAAACGAAGAGGATACATTCAACTGGAATTGTTTTTTAGTAATATAATGGATATGTTTTTCTAATTTAATAGCTTATTTCCATCTATTAGAATAAAAAAACAACAACCAAATGATAGCTTTTGGTTAATATAACTGTGATACAAATAATTGTATAAAATCTTTTAAAATTTAATATGAAATCTTAGTTGTTTTTTTTTAAATAATAATATATATGTTTTGTTTTTTATATTTTATGTACAAACTGTAATTTTGTAGTTATACACTAGTTCCACTAGTGTATATCTAGGTTTTTTATATTGTTAATGTCTGCTATACTCATTTTTTTCTTATTACCGTTCACATTTTTCCACATTTGTTGAACTTTGACAGTTTTCTTAGTGTTGGTATTTGTTTCAACTTCCTCTGTGTTCCCCTTGTTAATTAGTCATCTTCCCTTTGATCCCTGCCAAACACTCTCCATCGGCTGATTAACATTCCTCTGATTAGACTCATCTAGGTTAAATATCACTCTCCCTCAGTAGTTTATATCCCTGGTTTCCATTGTTTCTTGCTGGATTCTTCTGTTACACTGAATTTGATTAACCTTTTCCTTAATCTTGCACATGTAATTGAATTAATACAAGCTGTTTTGTTCTGCTTACATTTGTTTCCATTAAAACTGCAAACCATAACGCAAAGTTAACACACTTAGAGAATGTTATACCAGACCATGAGATGCACAGAAATGCTAACATCAGATATAAGTTTGTCGATAAAGTGGTCACTTATGTCTCAAAACATGCATGTAGCCTAAATACATGTATGTACAACTAATGTAACTACAGATAACATATGTTAGCAGTTAGTCCTATCCATGAATATAAACATATTTCAGTTTGAGTTTTTTTACAATTTCAAAATCAGCTGTAACAAATTGGTACTTCTGTGTAGCTCTTAGTTTTTACCCACTCTTTACTTTTCCAAAAGTTAGCAAGTTTTGTATGCATTAAAACAATCCACAAGCACACAATAACATACTTAAGTGTACAACAAAATGCACAAATATGTTTTAAAAAATACATAAATGCGTATTATAACACTGATAAATGTGTAGGCAGATTTTAACATTTACACAATTCAAACTGGAAGATAAATAATACACAATGCACACACACTGAAAAATGTAATGTTTGATTAGCCAGCTGCAGATGGATCGGTCAACACGAGCAAACAGATCAGCTGTCCTGTGCTTAACGACTTTGGAGATTTTCTAACTGTGGGGTGATTCGTGAATGACATGATGCATCGAAGGCTGGAGAAAAGCTCAGATATCTGAGAATGTGAGAGAAAACTGTGATGTCTCAGCATTATCCACTTTATAGGAAATAAAGTTGTTTTTGTTTTTTTGGCAAAGTAGTCCAACAAACATTATATAAAAAATGTTCACTTGCTTTAACTTAGCATTACATTTACTGTATTGGATTCTAAAAAAAAAAAACTAACAAAACTAATTATTTATAACATACTGCAAAAATAAACACATTTTAATTGGTATTTTTTCTTCTTAAAGTAAAGAATAAAGTTAACAGTTGATATTGAGGGAAATGAACATTTTATAAGCAGATAACCAAGTACAGGGTCAGAAATATTTGACACTTAATGTCTGCTGTAACTTTATTTGTCTTCAGATGATAAAATACAATAATATAGTCATGTTCATTTACATCAACTGTTAAATTTATTTTCTGCCAATGCACATTAAGACCACTCATATACTTCAGAAGATTGACTGCGTTGTGGATGTCCCGCCAACTTGTGCACGTCGTCCCATGATAAAGGCTAAAGTGCTGCTCGAAGATGGTGCTGGTGCTCGCATTAGTTTTCAGAGTTTATTTTTGTTCCAGAAAAAGAAGAACCTAAACTTTATTCAATTCAATTCAGTTTATTTATATAGCGCCAAATTCACAACACAAGTCATCTCAAGGCACTTTACAGTTCAACCAGATCGTGCAATCAAATTGATTCAAAGTTTTCTATCTAAGGAAAACCAGTTGATTGCATTGACTCAAATACAATCACTCAAACTAAGCATGCTTGTAGCGACAGTGGAGAGGAAAAACTTCCTTTTAACAGGAAGAAACCTCCAGCAGAACCAGGCTTAGTGTGAGCGGCCATCTGCGGAGGCCGACTGGGGTTCAAAAAAAGTAAAAAATCAATCCACTGGACATTGTTTCCAAGTTTGAAGACATTTCGTATCCCATCCAGGAAGCTTTTTAAATTAAAAATGTCAGCATTAGAATTAGTCAGCATTAGAATTAGTCCCCCCCCCCCCCCCCCAGCAGGGGACCAAACATCTAATTGGTTAGCCAGACCAAAAATGTCTCCTAACAACCCCCCTTTCAGAGGCATAGACCAGTATTAGGTATTGCATGCTAACAAAAGATCTCAATGACTCCCCATTCCTAAGGGTAGGATCTGTTCTTCCGGTTGAATTTTTATGTTTTCTAAACCAAAACAAGGCTTTGTTTTTGGTCCACTCTATAAAGAAGTCAACACTATATCTGACATTTTGAATTGAAAAAACTTCTTTGATGGGAAGTGAAACATCTTCAAACTCGGAAACCAAGTCCAGCGGATTGTTTTTTTTTTTTTTTACTTTTTTGGATGACTGAGAATCTTCACCAGCAAACCTACACTTAGCTTGTTTTAAAAGTAGTTTGAACCATTATTTTTTTTTTAATTCAGAAAATGTATCGTAATCTAAAAAGTGCATATTTTTAACATAGTGTATATTGGGCTGCTGGGCCAAAGAAAAAGTAAAACACAAAATAAACTATATTTTCAGTAAATCCAGCAAAGCTGATATATCAGAGTCTTTTTTTCCAGCCTTGTACACATCATCTTATCACCTTGGTGTAAGAAAGTCCTTAAGCACAGCTGATCAGTGCGCTTGTAAACGAGCCATCAACAGTTGGAAATTTAAGCATTCACATTTGCTGGTTTGTATAAATTGTGTATCATTACTTTTGAAGTTTGAATGATGCAAATTTGAGAAAGTCGACACATTTGTGATTTTTAAGGCACCCTTTTATGCCTATTGTGATACACATTTGTGAATTCTGCGGCATACTTATAGATATTGCTGTACGCTAATGGATCTGTTTTTATCTGATTACGTACAAGCAGTGAATATATAAACTTTAATGATATATTCAAATGTGGGAAATTTCTGTTGTTATTGTTATATTGATAAAAACAGTCCTTGTTGAAATGTGCCAGTGCTTTAGATCTTTAAATTACACTATGGAATGAAGTCATGTTAGCTTTTTCAGACTATTTGCATTTCCCTTCCTGTCAAATTGACTGAACACAAAGAGGTTGAAAGGGAAGTTTTTTTTTAAAGACAAAACTGAATGCATCAACAGGAATGAACTGCAAGTCACCCTGAAGATGCAGCAAAGCATAAAACCAGAAAAGATTTAATGTGCTGCCATAAACTGAAAGCTGTGTTTACCACATGTTGTGGGCATTGCAGAGCCTTAGATGAATTAATTAAAACAAAAGAATATCTGTGTAAGTAGATGTGAAAATCAGATGGAAGAAACAGTAATTAAAGGACAATGGTCATGTATCTGTAGGCAGCAACAACAAAGGTTCTGATTTTTAAGACCCTCTAATTACAGAGGTAAGAAAAGTGAAGTAAAATCATTAATGGAAAATCATTAAAATGTGATACAATCCGTCCCTTTCTCACCAACACGACCCCCCAATCCCGCTCTTATTGAAACAAAGACCAGCCTTTAGCTGTAAGGCCTGACAAATTTCGCCCTCTGCTCTCAGGCTGAAGATGAAGTTAAAGGCTAATGGTAGTCACAGCCTGTGAGCCATCACACAGGAGGCAACGAGCTGCAACCCATAGCTGTCCTGAAGCAGAACCCTTAAAAAAAAAAAAAAACCCTGTTGGTGCTGAGTCGGTAACTAAAACAGCCAGGGGGGCATTTCCTCCTCCTTAACAGTCGCAGTGGGTGCAAGCTCCCACTATAATGTGCTGCCATTAAAGAAAAATGTGCTCTCTTACTGGAAGATACTTGTTAGTAAAACAAGACAACAGAAAAATGATTTTGCTAAGGCAAAGAAGAGCTTTTTTAGGAGGTTTGTGAGTGTATGGCATACTGTACCTGTAAGATACGATCTCCTTCTCTGATCCGTCCGTCTCTGGCAGCTATGCTGTTGGGACTGACCTGTACATCAAAGAAAATACTTTTACCCTTTATGTTTGGGAGAATCAAGACTGTTTTTATTTGTTATTTTATGTATTATAAGTTGCAGCTAGCTAACTTAAATTTTTTTATGTTCATGGTGTCGTTGATAGGCTGTCAAACAACTTTAAACCAGGAGTTAACGATATTTGAAATGCACCACAAAATCAGAAGCTTACAATTTCAGTTTTTAGCTGCAATTGTTTCACTCTTTTTTTTCCCAGGAGCAACTACAAAAAGCAATTCCATTCTTCAAACCCACTTCAGCAGACAATGCACTTGTTCTTCTTGAGCACAATGCTTTCTAACAAGGGCACAACTTTCTTCAATCCACAATAAACTGGTTTTCAAGGCAATTTGTTTTACTTTCACCAATTTGTGAGGATGTTGAGGCACAAAGCTGCTCCATCTTCATAATAGTTTCCTCCCACACTGAGGAACGCTCATTAAACCAGAAGCGACGTTACAACACAGGAGTCATAGAAAAATGGAAAACAGAAAAGATCTACAATGTCTTGCAAAGGTTTTCATTTCAGCTTAACTTTTACAAATTTCATTGTTTTTCATTTGAATCTTTTTGTAAAGAACTTTAAAAAGTAATCTACAAGTCAGTGAAGTCTGTGTTTGTATTCTGCCCACTTTAATTCAATACCCCTAACAAAGTTACTGCAACTAAATGGCTCTAAATAGAGTCAACCTCTGGGTAATTTAGTCTTAGGATAAATCCAGCCCACTGTAATTTGCTAAAGAACCTTAGTGAACAAACAGCATCCATGAAGACCAATAAACAAACAGACAGGTCAGAGAGGGAAGGTTAGGTTATAAACATATACCTGACTGAATATCTCACTAAAAACGAAAAAAAAAAAAAAAAGAAGTCTGATTTATAAAACACTTTCTCACAAGCTATAAAGGTGCTGAACAAATATTAGAGCAAAAGCTTCTCTGATCACTTAAGACCAAAGTATTACTTTTGCTTGTACTAGCGACGCAGGTGTGTATTAGCATATACAGTTTGAACCATAATAGGAAAACTCATCTGCAATAGCCACCATTTTGA